CTGTGAAAGGTTTGAACCCAGGAGTCAATTCAAAAGTAGGGTGATCAAACTCAACCCGGACGATCAAACTCAACCTACTTTTGTTATTTATGTTATCGCTATCGCTCGATCAATACGTCAAGGCCTCGGACTGAGATTACCCTGTAATGATCTCACTTACGGTTAATAAGTAGCATGTATTAATACTACGCGCGGCTACTAAACATTTTGATATTTTAATTTGCCCGGCGTTTTCTTGCAGAGTTCGCATGTTAGAATCTCGCGAGCCTCATCTGAGACCAAACAGAGGCTTGGTGAATGGAGAGAAGGGTTTCTACAAAGGTTTGTGTTACTCGTAGGTTTATCGATAACTTCAAAGTATAAGCTCTTAACTCTATTTTTTTCTTTTTTCTCCCAAGGAAAAATCAAACAACATAAGATGATATCACCTATAATGATCGACAATCAAATTGTAAGTAGTTTTCTGTTGTAGCCCCTTTGGGGGAGGGGAGGGGAGGATGAGTAAGAAAACGATAATTCAAGGGTATGGATTTAATTATATAACTGGACATGCCGTCTCTCAGTCTCTATATTAGGGAGCTTGAATCATTTTACGTATCTGGGTAGATCTGGGTAAGTGACCTCCTACCCTTCCCCCAAACCAACATCAACACTTACTTCTCTGCACTGAGGACAAAATGTTGATTTAGGGGATGGGTAGGTGGTCAGTTACCCAGAAACGTATAAGAGGGTCTCAATGGGGTGGTGGCTTTTACGGTTATCGGCTAAAATTTTGGCTCTTTTACGGCTATCGGTTAATTTTTTTCCGTTACGGTTAACAAAAAAGTTAAAAATTAACTTCTGTTGTTTCAAAAAGTTAAATATTATTTAACCTGTATTTTTTTTGTATCTTTAAATCAAAATAAAGGTCTTCGGATCATCTCGGGTGAAATAAGCTATTCTTTTGAAAGATTTTAACATTTGATAGATCATACTTGTTATAAAGTATTCCACTTCTAATGTTATCTTACACATAGAAATGTCAATAGTCAATTTAAAAATAATCTTTGTGAAAAAGCAAAACTGAGCAGACACGCGAACGCCCAACTCAAGGCCGGAGTACGACATTCATTATAACACTAATGGCCGTTTTCACACTAGAGACGGATTATTCGTGTGAGACGGGTTATCCGTTTGATTATTCGTCGTGTCAGATAGGTAATACGTCTTAATTTGAAAATGAAATAGTTTTAATTTTGAATGAACAATCCGCCTGACTTTTGCAGACGGGATTATCCGTTCCAGATAGCCTGTGTACAGTCACCCACTCCCCTCAGAAAAAGTCGGAGAAGGGGTGTCTGTGGGGAGGGCGCGACTGTACAGAGACTAGTCAGACGGATAATCCATTTCTAGCTCTAGTGTGAAAACGGCCAATAACAAAATTACCGAGTCCAGTGTTTTTAATGATAGCAAAGGACTGTACGGAACGACCGTCTGCCGTTGCCTTGTCCGTAGGCCTCATTATTCCGCGCGGCTAATTCTTTTCGGGTCACGTGGTCCGAGCGAGTTCGCCACCGAAATGCCTTGACCGAGATTGCGTGGGAAGACGCCGTACAGGGATTAGGCATGGCCATGTCTACCGTAGCGTCAGAGAAAAACAGGGAAATGTTGTTCATCGGCAACGTGTTTTACAAACAGAGACATCTCTGCGTACTGTTTCACTAGTGTTTCGAGGACACGACCTCCTGAATATTAATCCGCAGCAAGAAGCCACACTTTCGCTTTGGAAAAAATTAGTTCCCCAGGAGAGCGGCGGAAATGGAGCCTAGGTCTTGGTCAACAACTAAAAGGCGCTTCGCCTAACGTGCGTACGGAATCACTCTAGCCAGCAAATAAAAAAACGCAACCATAAGTGAGTTTAGTACCTTCATTAAAAGTAACAAATCTAGGGAACAGTTTCTTTTACGGTTAACTCTTTTTTACCCTATTTACGGCTAACGGTTAAAATTTTTCAATTTTTACGGCTATCGACTAAATTTTTTGCCGTTTTACGCCTATCGGTTAACCCCATTGAGACCCTCGTATAACGATCCGGGAGCTTAAGCAACGACGACGTCGACGTCAACGAGAACGGCAAAAAAGCAATTGGTTTAGATTTGCAAAACAACAACTTTGCACGTGCGTCACGCTTTTTTGTACATTTCTTTGCCGTCAGTGCACGACTACGACATGAAAATGCCTAATTTTACGTTTTGTGGAGGACGTGAACATAAGGTAACGACTTTCTTTTTGTTTTCCTGAACTTTGATGCAGTGTTTTAGAATTCAACTCCAGAAAAATTTGCCAACATTTGACGAACTGAACGAGATGGAATAAGCGCGAGAAAGTTTGAAGCAGTGCGACTTCACTTTTTAAGTGACGTATTCGTTGCCGTCGCCGTCGTTGTTGCCTAAGCTCCCTATTATGACTCAAACAACCTGTTTATTTACCAGTTGTCTTGATAAACGTTGGGTGTTTCCCGCTTTTTATTTTAACTCCTCGTCTCTACTGCTCCTTTAAACAAAATTTTTTTTTCTTTAGGCTCCTCCAGATGGAAAAAGGTTTGACGGCAAAGCTGTTGACCCAGGTAACTGGTTAGCATTATTTAAGAATAACATTAACAGATAAAAGGATTACCCGGCGGACATTGCCTTGGAAATAAATGGCAATTGCACCTTTTTACTCTTCTTAATTGGCTGAAAAATCTTGCACCACCTTCCCAACTAATCCCGAATAAAAACCGAAAACAAAACTAGCGGCGTCTATTTCTTCGAGTTTTAATTGGCTTGTTTGAATTTGTGCTGGCGTATCGTTTGCTCGACACTTATAGCTGAAGGTAGTTATAATGTTTTTCATCATCTTTCCTTCATAGTTTCCGGAAAATTATACGCCTTTAACAAAACAACTGGTGAACGCATGTGGATACAGGACATGCGCGATAGTAGAAATGGGCCCCAGTCCTATTACGCCAACCGCAACACGCAATCAAGGTTTAGTGATTCCCAACACAGAGTACAAGACCTACCCCCACCCCGAGCGTCGATAGAGACAGTACACGGGCGAAACAACAGGGCGAATCGTCTGCAGTTGCCAGGGACACCAGAGTAGAGATAGGAACAGGAGCAAAAGAGATTTGCGTGACACTTCTAAAATGTTGCATAATATTTGAAACTTTGTCACATGTTGAAGGAACACGCAGCAGTACTATACTAAATCATTCAGGTGCCGGTTCTCTTAAGGGTGGCTGTCTAGCCCGCAATATCCTTAGACGCGAGAGTCGTTAATTTACAGTCAAACCTGTAATAAGCCGGGACCTGCATAAAGCATGCATTCTCCCTCTATTAGGCGGTCACTTTCTTAAGCCCCGAAAAGCATTTTTCTAAATCACTGAAGAACTGACCTGAATTAAGCGGTTACCTGTATTGAGCGCTCGAGGTCACCTTTTCCGTGGTCCCAACGAGTTGTCAACGGTCACTTTTTCAAGACTGAACCACACAGAAACACTAGTGTGCACAACATATGCAGGTTTGACTGTATACTAAAGATGTAGGCAAGAGTGCGTGACTTGCTGTCAACTAAGAAATTTTACCTGATAATATAAGATTTTATGGTGTGGAGAAACGTATTAACCTTCCTTCCAATCACTCAATCAAGCGAAACCGAGTAGAAAATCCTAAGGAACTAACATTAGAGACCGGTCATTATTTATCGCCGGGGCGGGGGGGGGCGGGGGGGAGAGGATTTGAGGCTAAACAAGGTGAAATTTAGCTCATCCCCTCTTTGAATGTTACTTCACTGACGTGATCCCCCCTAACAACATTTGATGACTTTCGCGATCCCCCCCATGTCTTCATTTTCAAAGCTAATTCGAGTGGTCCTCCCTCTGCATCCTTCCAAAGTTTTCAGTGTTCTCCCCTTTTGGGTTCTGCAGTTACGACTGATCCCGCCCTTTTGTTCTCCTAAAAATCAAGTGATCCCCCCAAAATCCTCTCCCCCCCAGGCGATAATTAATGACCAGTCCCTCAGTTTATAACACAAAGAAATTTCCCACCATTCCAATTCTTCAAGAATCATAATACTTTTAAAGTATTAATAAAATTTTAATTAGTTTTTCTGTTCTAGTAAAGAACGTAAACATTTGAAAAAAAGGCAAATAATTTATGTCATATTTATATGAAGTAATCCAGCCAGGAACATGTAACGATGTACAAAATAATAAACAAGAGTGAATGATGGTGTTGGTTTTGTGGTGTATATACGACATGGTCATTGCTAAGTGCAATGTCAGTTCGTTATAGCTTTGCGTTAGCTTATTTGTACTAAATGTATATCTAACCGGATTTATGAAAACCTTACCATCGGACACCAGGAGCCCACACACCTTAAACTGACTCAACTAGAGTAAATATCGCCAAGAAACTCAGCTCTTATCCATGGTTCTCTTAAGGTGACTCTCTTCTTGGTTCCTGATTAGCAAAAGAAACATTCAAGTCCATCAAAAAGACACTCTGGACTTCTCCGTACACTCTAGCTGCTTAAAAGCCCTGAATGACGGAGGACGCTTAAGACTTAAGCAAGTTCTAAGCAGAGAATTCAAGGTTAAATCACCCCCCCTGACTTCCTACACCCCCCTAGCCTAGCACGTGCTTGAGGGGAATGCTTTCATTGGCCAATGGGCCTCAAAAGTTACAAGAATTTGACATGACAAACTAAAGGCAGACATGAGCAGTGCACTGACTCTCCCAGACCAGGACTAACGGAAGGTACAACGCTTTTGCAGCACCCCCCCCCCTAGGGATTGACATGGAGGCCCCTTTCCAACCCATGGCGAATTAGCTCAGGGACTGAACTTGCCAATGACACCAACCAGGACAGCAAGCCCCCTATGTTTTTTCTCACCGCAGTGACCAGAAAGCTTGCTATCGCCAGCTTTCTGTGCGAATATTCTGGTCCATTTTGAGGTACGTTTTCAAAAATTCGGGTAGATATATATTTCAGGAAAGTGACAACATTGGTTGAAATAAAAACTGAAGCACAATAAAACCAACTGTTAGAACACAAGAGACTGTAGAGAAAGAAGCTTTTGTTAGATGATGCGCTGGCGGATTTTTTAGAGGATTTGCGATAGCGATTTGTAACGATCCCGCACTAAGCCGTGAAGTTTACAACGGAGATGCAACTGAACAGCCACCGTATAAAATTACGCGACTAATTCAGCCTCTATCTCAACAGTATAAGGCTCTCTTATCAATGGCAAATATGCAAAATCATTTCCAAAAACACCTGGACTTGTACTCTACTTCATAAACAAATTTTTATTCATGAATGATAAACACAATTAACTTTAAGTTTCGATGATCTAAAAAACCGCAATCCAATTTTGATAGCTTTTATGAAAAAGGAATTGTCTACCCTGCCATCTTGTACAGAACTGACCAATAAAACAGGAGTCGAACAAATTAACTTCCTGCTGCAGCATTACTGCCCAGGCCTCTCTGCGGGATTCTTTCTTTCCATGTGTATAATTTATGTATTCTTATGTGTTCTTTGGTTCTTCCTTTTTTCCTGCTCAGACATCAATATTTCCAAATTCCAACTCGATTTGAGTCCAACAGCCACATCTTTGCCAGCCCCAAAACTGTCGAGTCCCGCCACAACCCGTAATTCATGGTCCTTTTTCTTAATAAAACCATGGCCAAGAAGTTTTCTAAACTCTTTCTTAATGTCACTTTTGAAAAAGGCATAGGATAGTGGGTTAATGGCCGAGTTTAAAACCAAGAAAGGAATTTTGTATTGTTCATCTTTACATGATGCATTAGAGTCGGATAACACTACTAGACTACAACGTAAATATATTCCGTGGCACACAAGAAACACTCCTATCACAATACCCATGATCAATACTACTGCAGACTTTTTGTGATAGATTTTAAAAACCATCTGCTGGTTAAAACGTAACTGTTTTGCTAAGGTGCGTGCTGACCGATCATGCCTGCGTACGTGAAATATCACTGATACAAAGCAGGATATTAATACAACGCATGGAAGAAATTCGAAGAAAATTAGATGAAGCCAAAGGAAAATGAGAATAGCTGTTTTGCAAATAATCAAAGTTAGAAACTGGTTTTCGTGCGGAGATTTCGTCTGCTGCAAATGAGGAAGATTGTAAATCCATTTCCAATGATGGTTAGAAATGAAAGAAACCAGCCAAGAATCCAAAACCAGGTCTCCATCTTAGCGGTTAAAGGAAGTTCTGTAAATTATGAGATCATGTGGTTTTATCTTTATTCAAAACCAGTCAATTACTTCAGAGAATTAATATGACGCAAGAGGCCAGATGTTTTAAGTGGATCAATTTTCCAAAAGCCTATTTTTTTTAAAGGGATTTCTGGAGCTTATCTTTTTCTATGGAAATAGGTTTTCATTCACATGCAATATATTAATTTTCAAACTCATTTTTATATAAATAATTAAGTACCAGACCTCCCTTAGCTTACGATCATGCTCTATGGTCCCTACTGACATCTCTACGTGTGTCAACAGTTTTGTACTTCTCATACGATGAACTGTTCGAAGATTCGTATCCTTTTTATCGGAATTGAATTTTATTGTTTTTTCAGCGTGATAAATATTTGTCATAATTATTGTAACTGATGTCTGAAAATCCCTTTTAGGAGGTATCAATAGTCTTTGGCGGGAAGGAGTGTTCGATTTATTTGTTTGTCAGAGTACATGTCAAAAATCAGTTTTGTTCTGATTGGCTAAATCTGAGATTGGCTCAAGTGAACAAAAGCCCTCGAGCAAATGTATTTCCAGCAGAGAAGGCTAACTTTGGTCACGCTATGTATCGGTCTCTAGAAATGTACAGTGCCCAGGCCTCGTTTGCTTGGCCGCGCGTTGATCTGGCCAGGCCACGTCGGCGCGACGACTTTCGGCCTTCTTGGATTATATCCTTCGGGTTTGTCAAAGTCTGCTGGATTCGTTCCTTTAGCTGGGAAAGTTTCATTGGTTTCTATATCTTATGCTAAATCCTATTTCTATACGATCCTAGCATGTTTATTTACCGTTGGAGTTTGAATTTCGTGGATTCGTTGTGTTGGAAAGGGTGCAATTATATTGCATGTATATGGCGGCCGAGATGCCATCTCGTGCGTATATACACACTCTGTGATCTTGGTAATTTAAGCAATCTGATTGGTTCGCTATCTCGGACTATTCAACAATATTCACCTCCTAGCGAGTGGATAATGTGTGAGCTCGGTGTTTTTCCCATTTTTCTTTTAAAAATCGACAGAATCCCAGGGTTGACTTTTTTTAAGGAAGAAAAGACTTGGAAGGATTCAAAACGGCGCTTTTCCATTTACTATAGCTGAGTTCTGTGCTCGATGGATTGTTTACAGCTTCCGTTTATTCGCTTTGCGTAGAAGAAGCCGTTGCGTGAACTCAGCGTTTCCTAACAAGAAAATTGGCCCCAAAAATCGAAGTTTATTTATGACAAACAAATTTGAAAGCAAATGTTACTTTTGCAAAAAATCTACGTTTCAAGGAAATAGGAAAAAGAATAACGGTACAGGAAGACGACGTCAGCTCGAGCAACCGAGCCGCCATTTTTGTCATCACATCAAGAAGAACGACAAAACAAACCCCTTTGGCTTTAAGCTTGGCGAGTCAACAGAAAACAACAAAGCTCTACTTTTCTTCTCAGGTAAGGAAATAATTCAAACTTTTAACGGTTCCATTTAAGCCACTACCCTGTTGTTTGCGAAGTGATAAACTCGTGAACTGCCATTTTTGAAAATTCTGCAAAGATAATAATAATAATAATAATAATAATAATAATAATAATAATAATAATAATGCCTTTATTTAACGAGGGTAACACTAAATAGCTCAAGTCCAAGGCTAATAAACTTGTGGCCCGCAAAACTTTCGCGTGATTTGATCCTTCAATAAAATCGTACTTTTTAATTAATGGTTTCCTCTCTGATTTTGTTGAGATCACTTCGTGTGTATATACTAAAACAATTATTCTTTTCAATCTCGGTGAATAGTGGCTTTAGGAATATTTACCCCGCCGCTTCGCGCCTCGGTAAATATATAGCCTCTCT